TGTCATTGGTGTGAACTAAACTGTTAATACATGATGTCAAATATTGGCAAAATTTTACAAGGATCATTAGCGGTACGAAGAAGGGGAAGGAGATGTACTAACTAATATATAGCGACATCATCAGTACTTAGAGATGGTCTATTGATGCAAATAAAATACATTATAAATAAATAGTAACTCTTGTGTTCAAACTTCACGGATATATATTTTAGAAAGATCATTCATATTAAATTAAATAGATATTGACAATTTAAAATTATATTATCATTCATTATTTATACATATAAAAATAATATCCAAGAATAATTAAAATATACCGTAATGAACATATGAAAACATATAAATACATTTTTTATAAATTTAATACTTGAACTGCAATATTTTTTTTTTTTTTTTTTGTTACCTATAAATTAAAACGTCTCGTAGATAAGTAAATAAAAAAAATACAATCCGAATTCAAACTGTACAATGTTATAGATAGTTATAGATATATGAATAATAACGTGCGAATAATAATAAACGACCCGCTTAATTATTCAACAAATATGGACCAATACTATATTTTTTGCTGATACTTTTGTTCAAGTTTTATCTGAATATTTATACACAGTATGGTACCCTCATTTTTTACTACTGTCGATAAAACAATTCGAATAGAATATTAAATAAATTACATCGATACTTTTGTACAATACTTTGTCAATGCAAAAGACAGATCTTTTTCTCGAGGTCGTCAATTAAATACTATTGAACGTAAACTCGAACCTCATACATAAGGAGGGTAGAGAAAGACAGGTTCCAAATGGTTGAAGAGGATAGTTTGTCGACTGGAGTCTCCCCTAATAGACTAAAAAATCACGTATCCGCTCCAGAATATCTGTGGGAATATAATAAAACAGTAAAACTCTTATTAGTCAGCGTCTTGGAGAAAGCGAAGAAGCAAAAATACCCCTTCGTTTCCTCTTGCCGCAATATTCTAATAGACTTGAAGTGAGTTAGTCATTTACAGGTACATCAAGTTAACTAAAAAAGTTATACTAAAGGATATTAATTTATGACGTTACCACTACAAAAATATTATTTGTTAATAACACAAAATTTATGTAAATAATAACGTTTTATGAATATTTTTTAAATATATTCGATAAGATAAATCTAGAAACGATTAAAATTATGTAAATTCTTATTACAAGTATTTTCATGAAATAATACAAAATCGTAAAAGAGAATATATATATTTTTTATAATTAGTGCTGGTATATTTGCAAAATAAAAATTTAAAAAATAAAAACTACATATATGTCATAATTAATAAAAATATGTAATGTAAAGAACAACTTATGCAACTTATATATATGTGATTGTTGAGATTAACAAAATTATATTATTTCATTCATCAAAGTAATACTTAATAAATTTAATCATTCAATATTAAAGTATTAAAATATTATATTACTTAATTAAATATCTTATTACACTATTCTTATTACAATATTTTATAATAAATTTTTCATCAGAAGCTATTTATAAATGGAAAAATATTGAAAAAGAGTCATTCAAATGTAATATTGATTTGTTAACTAATTTGTAAGATAATTTCAAAAACGATCTTAGTAAGATTTATTTATATTACAAAGTATTTTACAAAATATAAACCTTGTATTTAAAATCTATATTACTTTTATTTTTACACGTTATTTTAATTTCATTTAATGCTTATTATGTATCAAAGTATATTTGCTTTAAACACAAAAGCATTGATTCTAATTTTACAAAATATAATATAACAATCACAATTATTTCTCATTATAATATAAAATTATTTTAAAAATTACAATAATAATTATATTACATTTTTGTTTTTTCGAAAAATAGCATTATTTTAAATTAATAATAAGTGAAAATGGAAATTAATTAAATGTATAATTAATAACCAACGATGACAAATTCTCATTAAGTAATTGAATAAAGACGAATTTCAACTTATAAACTATATGAAATCTGCTTCCCCGGTATATAACTTAGGAATTGACAATTTTAAACATAAGTCAAATTAAATTATAAATTCAAATATACATTAATACAAGCATATTACATAAAAATTTTATTTGATATTAAATAAAACAATATTTTATTCAATAGAGGATGCAATAAAAGTTACATTAAAATTTTACGCTTTTATCGAGACTTGCATCGAACAAATAGTTAAAAATATATTTTGTAAAGCTATTAAATATTGAATTCAAAATATTTTTAAATATATCTCAAAAGGTTTTCAATATTTGAAAATGTATGTATTATCAAATATATTAGTTTTATTAATTATATAATATTAATGGTCGTGTGATCCACGTAGAATTACAGTGGATTTAAAAAGAAATTAGATCCATACCCTTGTATATTAGATTATTTATGAACAACCAGTTACATAACACATTGAATAATGTGAACCAGTTGCGATTTATGCTTCCGATAACATCAACCCGATACGATTGCCACATCAAATAATATCGCTTGATTACATGATCCATGGAGGCACGTCAAAATATATTGTAACAATAACGAAATTTAAATATAACAACCTGAGAGTATAATCGGGATTAGTTATATCGAAATGCGAATGAGACGGAAACGAAACATAAAATGAATATCATGAATTAGTAAGTGATCTAAAAAATAAACTTTGACAGTGTTCTAAATTATTATGATCAAAGTTAAAAGTGCTCAAGTGCTTTATACAGTTTCATAAAAATTTGTTAGAATGGGTTCGATTAAATTTATAAATATTAATTGCGAAAGTTAATAGAGTAAGCCTTATGTTCGTGAATGTATTCTGTGTACAATATTTTTACTATGCGAGTATGCAGATCGTAATTTTATCACAATATTAACTTTATCTTCTGTCCTTATACAATACAAAAAAAAAACTATTTCTACATTTCAAAATAGAATTGATTTTTACAATATTAATACTAATAATATATTACTGTTATATTATGTTTATATTAAATTTAAGATACGATAAACATTATAATTATCAGGATGCATATAAATTGATCAAAATTTTTGAATGATAATATCTTAAATAATACACTTTAATGAAATATTTTGATTAAACGAATGCACTTGTTCAATTTACATATATTTCTTGAAATCATCTCGAATGTACATGTTTTAAAACAACAATAATATAATGAGCATGAAGGTCTATATATATATATATATATATATATATGCATATTTAAGTGTAGGGTTACAAAGAAAAGAGGAAGCTGTATAAGTAATTAAGAAATAAATATTGGATATAAATTTTCAAGTAGCTGAAATCATTTGTATTATTGTAAATGTCCCTCGACAAGTAATAAGAATACATGCTGATTTATTTATTAAAGCAGTTCATTCATACTTTCTAAATGTACAAGCTACAATCAATTTATATATATATCGATAGGACTTGCAAATTTTTATATTGTTTATTATTTATTTTTATATTATTTACAGCGACATCTGTTAAAATGAGTATACTTTTATACAATATCAAATTCAGATTATCTTTCACTTTCTTCGCTATACATCCTACATTACTATATATGAAAAAAAATTAATGTGTTTAATAAGTAAAAATAAAAGATTTTATTACATAAATTGCTTAATAATTATTATAATTTTTCAATAATATTTCAGAATTAATTAATGTTAACTGAAGGGAAGAACAGCATTTTCTTTTATCATGCAATATTTTGGTAGATTGCGAAATAAAAAAACATTCTAAATGGCGCAACGATTTCAAAAGGAAAAACTTGTACTATACTTTTCTCTAATAATATCAGCCACAATGTCCAACTTTCATGATGACTATGAAAACTTTTTTACACGCTCCCGTACATTTGCCAAGAGATTTGTAGAAATACTAAAGCTAAATACATAAATCTCATAAGATATTTGAAAGTTGAACAGCTATTAAAAGCAAGTTCCATCTATTTATTAAAAAATGTTACAATATACGATTTTGTATTGATATTTAAACTAAGTACATTGAATTAATAAACATGGATTATACGTATTTACATTGCATATGTTTGAATTGAATATAATAAAAGTTCTATATAAAAATACAGCACACTTCTTCAAAAAATTATTTAAATTTAGAATTCGAAAATTAATATTAGTTCAAAATTTTTCAATTTTAAAATTCTTTTCTTAACAAAGTAAATAATAATTTTTGCGAGTCTCTTGAAAAGAAACCTACCATATACGTATGCCAGTATTATATTATACTTCAAAAGAAATTATCAATTAAAAAAATTTCTTTGACAAAATATTTATTATTATTATTTTTTAATATTCACTTTACTTGAATACAAAAATCATTCATCTGTTCAAGTAAAAAGTATAGTAGAAATTTTAAATTCCGTGTTTTTCACAATTAAAGGTAAAAAGTATGAAAACTAATTCAAATATTTTTGAAGAATTCATTGGGCTATGAAACAGAATTTAGTTGACTTTGTTGCTCGTTATAATTATTCATCTTTCCATTTATACTCTTAAATTATGTTTAATTAATAAAAAAAAAGATCGATTAAATAATTTTTGTATAAACAACAATTTTATAATGTCGAGTAAACTTTAGTATTACAATCCATATTACATATTACAATAAATGACAATATATCATATATTTTCAGTATCACTCGTTTATTTTTTAAATGCTTTTTAACTTTGAACGGAGTCAAATTTTATGTCAGGATAAAATAATAAGTTCTATTATTTATCCCGTTAATTAGTTTATAGAATCTCTTTAAATTTATTCTTCACAGGTTGAAACATACAAGTTACGTCTTTAATAATGAGAAATAAACATTATTTTTATTTGAAATTATTTATTATTGCTCTGTATAGAAAGAATTCATTTAAATTATAAGTATCTATACTTATATCACGGTTTAAAATAAGCATTTTTATCTTTGATCATTATAAATGTTCCAAGATTGAATCACTAGTAAAAATATTTGTGTTTGTGTGCCAAGATATGAATAAAAAAATAGAAATTGGCAAGCTCATCGTGTAAGATCTCTGCAGGTACGTAGATACATGCCAAGTCGGGTCAAACACCTCATATGATTAAACTGGACAGCCCTACGTTATATATACTACTTTTGAAGACACATCAATCTCATTCCTCTCAACATTTCTTAAAAATCCATTTATTATGGAGTATTATTTCTGTTTGAATTCCAGTTTTATCATTCTGATTCCTCGATTCAGGCACAAGATAAATTTAAAATAAAGAAATAAAAAGCACGTCCTCAGTCGTCCAGTTGGCAGAGTAGTGCAACGCCTCGTTTAATCCAATGTGAACTAGAGATATTAGTATCCAACAATATTGTAAGCACGTAGTTTGTAGAGTGGCCAGTTGTCTTTAAGGTACCGAATCGTTCTGATGTTATATAAAGTGGACAGGCGTAGCGTTCTTTCACTTGAATATCTGAACGCTTTGTAGGTATGAACCAGATAATTGGCATTGGTTCGTTAAGTATTTTAGGTTTCGCCTCTACTAAATACATATTATTTATGTCCCAACGAGCTCCACTTAAGAACATGCCACGTACATATACGCCGTTTTCTGGAGGCGTGTCGGCTTTGTACGTTGGCAAAACCTGCGAAACAGTCAGTTGGTCATTAATTGGTAATAGAATGAAACAACTACAACGAACTTTCATAAATTAGATTTCTTTTAACAATGTGGAATTATTATTCCATAGTATTTTTTATATGTGCATTTTTATATAAATGTTATAAATATATTTTATGCTATATTTATATGCATATAATAAATAATATGTACACTTAGATGAAATGGATATGTATTTGGATAAAAAAAGTATAAACTTAAAATGTAAAAAAGGTATAAGAGAGAATACAAACAGAATCATAACGTACTTTGAAATCAAAATCGATTAGATCAATCGATATCTTATATTTTCGGGCATAGTTCTGCATTGCACCGGTCAAAAAAGCATGAGCAAAAGAAAATCCAGATATCCAAAAGATCGTTGGTTTACCAACGGTTAACCATTCGCGAAAGAATGCAAGTCGCTCCAAGAAGTCGTTGACAAAACTTGCTAATGGCTTCAGACTTGGATATGCACTGGCTTTTCTCCACGAAGGTGGAATTTTTCCGGATATTATATGAGCCGCTAATATCTAAACGTACATATATTTGTGTTAATAAAGTATTGATTAAAGATGAGCCTATAGAGTGTGGTAGATATGATATCATTCAAATAATTTGAGGCTAACTAAATATGTTCTTGTATACTGATATTCTCAAAAATGATCTTTTATTATGAAAGTTTCTCGCAATAATATTTATTTATTTAATTAATTTATGAAAAAGCTTCCTTCTTCATTTTCCAAACATTCGTTTTATATATAAGCGAGCGAACGAGAGAGAGAGAGAGAGAGAGAGAGAGAGAGAGAGAGAGAGATTTAATAAATAATAAATTTAATAAAGATAAATTTAATAAATTTCGTTTCATTTCATTTCAATCAAGCTTTATATAATAATAATATATTGATACATTTTTATTGCATTTTTAAAAATCAGCTTTCAAGAGGTTCAATAATTTTTTATATACTGTCGATTATATAATTAAATTCTCTTGAATTGAATATTATACGTAATAAAGATTTCAACATCATGTATATAATATAGATAAAAAATATTATATAATAATTCTTAATTAATTACACTTGTTTCGTATATCAAAAAATCAAAAAATCCTCCAATAATATCCCAAAACTACTGCAAATAATATTAGTAGCTCATTGACTTATGAAAAGGCAGTAGTAGTAGTAGCCTTATTATATTAAATTAAAGAAAGATTTTTCGATATTACAGAAAAAATCATAAAGTATTCTAGCTATATTACCAGAAATTTTTCCTACATACGTACCTCTAAATCTGGTGTCATAACTATCATACCCTTGACAGCTTGCTCTAACATAATCATCGAGGTTCTTATTTCTTGAAGCAGAATATTAAATCGTTGCAATTCCTGAATAAGCACAGTATTCATGGATTCAGAGTAGGAGGCTGGGAATAATTCTAGGGCCTCTTCGATGTTAAAGTCCTCGGGAAGACGATCGTATATATCATTTTTTTTAGACAACAGTATTTCATCTTGGCGCGTCAAATCGCCAATACTCATCCCTCCCTATCCAATATTGTTGAATTTATAATTTATGTACTAAATTTATAAGCATATAAATGCATATTGTACTAATTTAATTAAATCTTGTTATTATATAATGCAAGAGCAAATAATATTAAAAAATTATTCTTCCTAAAACTTATAGTCTAGAAATGATATGATTAATCCAGAAGTTGGATTAAAATTGTTATAATTAATATATTTGTAACAGTAATATGTATGCACGTACTTCCATTTTATTTAACGAGTCAAAAAACATTTTAGAAATCTCGAGATCTCGAGTAATTCCAGCATTCATATTCAAGCCCAGTAATTCTGGCGGTGGGTGTGTCGGAATCATTTCTATTTGCTTTATATAATCTACGTAATCATATCTGCAAATTTTAAGTATTTAATAATATATTTATACGTAATCTTATATTTGTTATATCCATTCTTACACACACACACACGCACACGCGCGCGCGCACACACATATACATATTTACATATATTCTCCTTCGGAGTTATTAATAATTGTTTAGTTGATATGATTATAAATTTGCTTTCTTCTTTATATTGTTTCATTATTATTCTTTGATGGAATTGTATAATCAAGATTTATTTGTATTCAATTAATATTAGTGTATTATTAATCAGATTCTTTTAGTTATAAAAAATATAAATTGTGCTATTCTTAAGCAAACTTTTATAGATTATAGTTCTTGTGGAAAATATTTATCAATGTTTTATATTGTAATTTGTATATTGTATATTTATTTTCATATAATTTCTATATCTCTGGTTTATAGTATGAAATCGACAGTAGTACTAGTTAATATATCACATCAATAAAACAGAATAGTACTTTTAATTTTTAATTTATACTATACATATGCTATACAAATTATTAATAATTTATATCAAATTAAATAAAATTAAAAAATTGAACTTACAAAATCTGTAAAATATCAAATTCTTTTATTTACAAATACAAAATTCTAACATGTAAAAAGTAAAATTAATGTTTTTGAAATTCAAATGTCTATATAAGAATACGTACTTTTTCGGCAAAGAATATTTTGGCTCATTTATAGCGAAAGTGTACTTTGGATTTTTTATAACATTTGGATTGTAAAAATCATCTAGAATTGTATTTAGACAACGACGATCTCTTTCGTCAGTTACTCGACCGCCATAGTTACATTCTCCAGTTAAATAAAGAATAGCTTTAAATGGAACGTCATCGTACTCATTAATGAAGTTCTGTAATTGTTTGGCAGATATTTGAAAATCAGACTCATTGAATCCTAAAAAGTAAAAAATTATAATTCATATGAATTGTAATTACAATTATTAATTTTGATTTATTTTATTATATTTTATTATTTATTATCTTGTATTATTATTATATAACAATTTTTCATAATGAGTAATAATTTTATATATATTAATTTTATATAATAATTTTGTAACAAATTATTAGATACCGTATTGTATATTCCATCCTTGCGCTCCGTAGTTTCTTCTTTCTTGAATAACAGCATGAAAGAAACAAAGTCCATATAATAATCTGGTAAAAGATTTTTCCTTTCCAGGACATCCAGTATAAAATTCAGGATCCTTAACTGGTTCCGAAATATATGATCTCATAAGATTTTGTCCAAGTCCAGTCGGTGGCTCATTCGTCATCTTAAAATATATTTTTTATTATTCATATATTATAGAATACTATATTTATACTTTTTTCCAATTCATTTTATATTTTTAATCATCCAATGAATTAAAGAAATTAAGTTTTAATAATTTTAATAAATTAATAATCTTGAAATTTGTTTATCTTCCAAAGCACACAGTAGTTATATAAAGTATAATCAATGATCAATTAACGGATTTCAAATAAAGCTATTATAACTAATTTTATTATAAATTATATCTTATATTTATGGAAAATGTACAATTTTTTTCTTTTGAGAAATCTCAATATAAACTTAAAACTAAATTTTTATCTGTAAAGAGAATATTAATTAATTTAAATTGTTTATAGTTGGCAAAGTCTTTTGCTAAGTCATACCTTAATTCCATTCTGCAATACAGTTATGGGAAACTTATCGGATGGGTAGCTAGTCAGCCAAAGTCTAAAGTTTTTTACAGTGTTGCTGTAATCAAGATTTTCGCAAATCTTTTCAAGTTCAGACATCCATGATATAGCCAGATGACAATTCTGCAGACAAACCCAGCTGCCATCTTTTTGTGATTCTCTGATGAGATTTTGGGCAATTGGCCCTTGTCCCTGACCTAACGATATTGAGAAGAATCGTGAGGAATAATTAGAGAGATCTGCAAATTTACTAAGAGCACTCATTGGATCGGATCCAGGAGACAGAATAAAAATCAGAGGCAGAAGACAATTCGAGTCGGCGTATGAGCGACTAATATCAAAAGCTGGAGGTGTGACGAATCGAGAATCCATAGATTTCTGAACGAAAATCATCACCTGAAAAATGAGTTTTAAAGATTTATCATTAAAAATTTTCCTATTTCCAATAGATAATTTTGTCGTTAATGCGAACTAATATAAATTGAAGAAAATCTCTTATGAAACAATAGGTAAACGTCAATGAAAATAATTATATTTTATTTCACATGCAGTATTTCTTTCAGTAATCTTTCTAATATTTAATTAATACCTTTTATATTCACATTAAAATGAAACAATTAATCGAGTGTAAATAATATTCTTATAAATAGTATTTATAAATAAAATATGTTCCCTTCTTAATAATATAATTTGACAATGATATAGGCCGATGCATTATTACATACTCTACTGTAAAAATAAACAGAAATTTGAATTTATATACGTATTCATATTTTCCAATACGATTATTGTTTTTCAAAACAATTGTATATGCATATGATAAAAAATTTTTAAAAATATATAATAAGATAATAAATTGTATAAAGAAAAAGTGCATTTAATAATTTAAGATAATTTAAGTAAATAAAATACATTAAATAGTTAGAAGAAATGTTAATATATATAGTATATATAGAAGCAATTTAAAAGTTTAATATGTATTTAATTTAATATAAATTGAATACATGTGTTAATATATTTAATTGTATCACATGCACATATATATTTATATTTGAAATATAATTATTTTATTTTAGTAGTATATATATTTTTATTTTTGTATAATATAGAATAATTAATTAGTGCCAAGTCAAGTATTTCGTCATCGTGAACAAGAGTAAACGAATGGAAATGTTAAGAAGCAATTCCTTGTTAGATTGCAATATAATATACATTTGCAAATTGAATAAAAAAAAAATTTATTCAGTAAATAAATTTTGCATATTGAAAAATTCCATAATTTTTTTAATGTAAACAGATATCAAAAATTTCTATTCGATATACTGTATAGACAAATTTATTTAATAGGCATTTTAGATAAAGAACACTATCATTTGATGACATAGAATTTTACCTTAGGAATAACTTTGTCAGGCCTGATCATACGCATAATGATGAGATGTTGAAAATTACTGAGATGTTGCTCCCATGGCTTAGGAAGCTTAGTCTCCTCTGGATTAATGCTGTCGTAAAAACTCTTCCATTTGGATACGGATGCGGGTTCCATGAAGTCGTCCATGAGACTCGCGAAGGTCGGAAGATTTGCCGAGCGCTTTATTTCCTCCCACGCTTTATCGGCAAGCCAGTTGGGTTCGGGATTGGCCACCGAGCTGCTCTTCAACACTAGGCCACCCGTAAGAAAGAAGTTCATCTCGTCTCTTGAAATCTCATTATTAGCTAGGAGGATTGTCGTACAAAGGATGAACGAGTACAGGATCTACAATCAAGTGGTAATAATTTAGATGTCTCTGAAGGGACGACGCTAAACTAATAGTTTATCACCGCTAAACAAACTTCCCTCTCACGAGGCTAAAGCAGGCAAAAGCAAATTCAAATTAGTCTATTAATTTCTTATTTTTATGCATTGTTAGCATACATATTTTTACACTAAATAGTAGTATTTTAAGTATTGTATGAACTTCTATGGCATTATTGTATTAAATTAATATTGATGTATACCGTCGTTTAATAATAATATTTTCGTACATTTCATAAGATATTAATAAAGCGATCAAAATTCAGCTTGTAAAATATTAATCCTTGTATGAATTTTTAAATGCAATTATTTATTTCGCTTGCATATAAATTATTACAAAAAAAAATTATATCTACGAATTTAATTAAAGAAATAAGTTAGAAAAGCAATTACTTACGTTGAACACATAAAAATTTATTATATCAATAAATCTAAGAATTAAATATTTTTTATAATAATAATATTACTACAATTATTATTTAGGTAATAACCTTATTATTCATGATATATCAAGGATCGACATATAATACTTAATAATTATTATCTCACTAAAAATTTGAGAAAAACGTACGATTTTATAATTTTTCAAAAATGGAATATGAAAATATGACAATTTCAAAAAAAAACCTGTCCTATATTTATGCAAGTCAATATATCCATCTACAATTTTTTTTATTCTTATGCAATATATTACAATTGTTTACATTAACAATATTCGTAGATATGTTTTAAAAAATATGTTACTCAAAATGTAATTTAATTTGTTATATATAATTCATTTATTAAAATTGGTTTAAAATTTTCAAAAATTAATTAAACTCGCTTTTCAATATAAAATATGCTTGAATTATTTAAACAATAAACTGTGGTTTATTATGTACAATTTAATTATATTAAAAATTAACATTATATTATTATATTATATTTTAAAAAATGCAAAAATAAAAGTTGTCAACTAATTAGTTGTAGAACAAAAATTTTGTAGAAATTAAAAATTTTTTTTTTCATTATTTATTAAAATTGTACATGAAGGTAACAGATAAAAAAATGCAAGTCTCAATCAATATACAATAAATGAATTATTTAGAACGTATCAAAATTTTTTTTTAATTAAAAATTTTACAATAATATAAACAAATTCTCATAAACAATTGAGAACCATTCCAATTCTCATAAAAGAATATCCAATATTACAATTAAAAATTGATCAATAATATTAATTATTTAATGTTAAATCTTAATAATAATATTATTATATTATAATAATATCTTTTCTTATAATAGCTTTTCTTCGGCATGATTCGTACACTTGAGTAAAGCACTTAAGTGTCCTATAATATCATACAAATACAGTAATGGCTTTTTCTATCAGTGGCTCTATCGTTAATATTCATAAATAGATGCCATACGACTAACTCACCTTATCCTTTTCGAACAAGGATCTGCAAACGTTCTGATAAAGATTGTAAGTAAAGGTCTCTCGGAGATAATCAAGCCTCTTCTTGAGTATGTTACTCTTATTTGCAGTCTCAATCGACAAGACATATAGATTGATGAACCAACTGAGAGAATACTGATACATTGGGTCGATACTTGGTAAGTCGGTAATTGTGTAATACAAGCAAGCACTATGCTTGGCTATTGGCTTGTAGCTTTGGCGGAAAACTTCGATCTTTGCTGTGGTCTCCTTAGCCACCTCCTGCTTACGTAAGATGTCGATTGACAAAATCTTCGATGAGTCAAGAACTTCGATAGCCTCTTCGTCTTCCAAGATACTCGCGCCAGATGTTGATAGAGTTCGGAGGATGTCATCTTCAACCTGTGATAAAATCAAAATAGATAAACTTTATTTAAGAACTTTATTTCGCATTTATTTATCTTTCTGATCTTTTCAAAATTTGAATTCAATTTTAAATGTACTCTATTTAATATAAAAAAAATCTGTTGCAATTCATACTTGTTTAAGTTCTAAACGAATTTACATTATGTATAATCGACATTATTCTCCACCCCTTATTAGTATAATGAGATATATAAGTACAATTGTCTTTAAGAAATTTTTCACAATCCTGTCTATACTGAAAGTCTATAAGTAAGCTTTATCGCTTACTAAAGCTCGTGTATCTTTGTAAATATTAAAATAATTATTTAATATTGATTGATAAGCTAAATAAAAATGCATTTTATAATAATGTTTCGTTAAAATAAAAAATAACTTAATACTTTTGTATAAGGAATACAAATAGTCAACATTACTATCCGTAAAGATAATTAAACATAGTGATATAAAAAAGAGCACAATATAAAAAAGAATACAAATACCTAAATATTCACTAGCCTTTTCTAATGAATGTAAAATATATAATATACACACACGTATATATATATATATATACGATTACCACTTAAAATACTTACTAATTAAAATGAACCACAACGATGCAATCAAAGCAAATATATTTAATAAAATATATTTCAAATACAATTAATAAATAACCTTTGTTACGTTAAAGAGGGCTTTTCGCAATTTAGAAAATAAAAGAACATTCTTATAGTTTAACAGTGAATGTTGTGAAGGAAAAAAGCTTTGTATACTTATTATAATAACAATCAACATATTTTTGACTATATTCATCTTTTACTAATATAAGAACATTTTTTATATTATTATATTAAGATATATTACATAAATTAAAAAGTTGTTTGACCTTTGATACAGATAGATAAAAGCATATTCAACATTTATTCAGAATACTTTGTTTATATTAATTATACTGATAATACGCAATACTGAATATTACTTAATTAATTACAAAATGTTTTTATGAAATAATTATAACATGAAAATATTAGGACTCAAACATAAGAATTATCAATTGAAACAAACAATGCAATTATATTAAATTCAAACCTGCTTCAGTGCTTTTTTATTAGCCGCTCCTTGTACAATTAAATATTCCCGTTTTTCTTGCAAGTCTGGACGTTCTTTTGATACAATAATACCCAAGAGTTGATCTTCTAGGCCCTCAATCGTAAGGGCAAAATTTATGAGGGTTATCTGATTAAATACTTCGGGCAAATAATGGGGATTACGAAGCTTTGTAGTTATGTACAGACGGAAGTTCATGTCATATTCAATAGCTTGTTCTCCTAGAGATATGAACCATACATTTGCCACTTTATAAATATTTTTATTTAAAATCGGTTCCAATGGTGCGTCCAATTGTTCATTTATATTTTCAATTAATACAGGATATCCTACGATAATTGCAAATACCTTTCTTTTGATACGATAATAACTCATAAAAGCGATTTTAATAATGAACTACTCCGATGTTTATATATTGAATTGAACTGATATTGTGATATAATCTAACTATAATAATCCCTTATTTCACGTTAAATTTGTAGTAAAATAAAGTGAAATTCTGCTTATAATAAAAATCTACTTATAAAGATTAAGACATAATGAAGAAATTTGAAAACAATAATATTAATTTAAAATATATATAATTCTAATAATATCATATAATTTCATAAATTTAATTATTTTATTGTTATTATTTATTTTCAAATTACTTCATTGCATTATTTGCAAAAAAAAAAATTTTATATGAAAATAATGACATAATTTATATGCGTTCATTTTTAATTACAGAGCTTTTTCTAAAAATGCCGTACTTAATCCACTTACATATTAAAAGATTTGTAAAATGCACACGCGTGTTTTTTAATAACATTAGACTGTGCATCAGTAATTAAATGGGAATAATTTAAACGATTTTTTTCGAACGTATTCGATACTTGAAGCTCGTTACCTTGTTGAATACATTGCTCGATGGTCTTCATGTAAGTTTGATCTGTGAACTTAACAATCTGTAGCTCGTTTGCCTTCTCCATATTACGTATCCATTTATTTGCCTGACTTTGTGGATCAATAAATAAACTATATCGTTTTGTACTATCCATGATAATGGCATTTTCAATTGAAAAGGAATCCCTCGGCAAATTGAAGATATTCCACGAATTAATCTTTATTTCGGATCCAAGAACTTCTACGAAGCTGTAGTTTTTAGAACATGGAATCCCTAGTTGAATTACGTAATCCAACCATTTTGCAAGATTCTTCATGCGCAAGATACGCAATCATACCGCATGAGATAAGCACATCTCCGGCGAGGCAATCGTATACCTCCTGAAGGTTCTCTGCACAACTGGTCCATCGACTTTTTTCGCCTCCCAAACCGCTGTAAATATTTAGAACCGTCTTCAATCTTTTTTTACAATATTCTATGCGTAAAGATACTTATTTATTGAAAACCATTCTCGATTTAATAACAATACATATTTAGATAGATCTTTAAATATTTTTAACACTATCCTTCATTACGTATTAATTTAATTTTAAATTAATTTATGAAATAAAAATCAAATCTGAAACCTTTTCACCAATAATTATTAAAATTAAATTAAAATAATTTTAAAATTAAAAAATTTCTAAATTAATTTATAGTAAAAAAATATTTCATAAATTATCAACATACTTTACTGCTTTTTGATAGAGAAAATCAATATTCTCGGTAAAGAATTGAATATTCTAAGCGTAAATTAACAGTAAATGAGTATGTGCGAAAGCTAATTAAATAAATTTCAATATCAAAAAAGTTAAGATAATATAAAGTAAATAGTATTATAAAAAAAGTTTTCTTTTTTAAAAATGTAAGTGGATTAAATCTTATAGGATTATATTATCGATTGTCGTAATAATTCTTAAATAAAACGATCTTTTATAAATAATTAAATTCTTCTCCACTTACAGTAGAAATGAACGTATAATTTATGATTAAAAGCTACTCGTACTTTATTAATTTTTCAGCTCGAATTAGTTTGCTCTTGCAGAGAAGCACTTGATTCTCCAAATCAACTTTCTTCTCTATAATATCAGCGAGTTGCTTATTTAATATCACTAACTTTTTGTTTAAATCGGCAAGCATATTACGTTTATCGTTCAAAAAATTCATCGTCTTTTGCAATGACATTTCGGCTTCTTGAAATTTTTCCTTTTTTGGTGCAACTACTTTAATTACCTTGTCATACAATACCATTGCTCTCACCCATTTGCATAATCCCTCTGCAGCCTGTGATGCTTTTGCCACTTTTTGCGGTGCAAATTTTTTGTTCTTTAAATATACCTTCTTAATTGTCTGTAAATAATTGTATTAAATTTTATTCTAATACTTTATAGATTATTTCATTAAGAACATATATATCCTTATAAAACTAGTATTAGTATCCACAAAAAATACAAAATTAATTCTCAACATTTTCGTGAAAACTTCTTACAGATTGTGGTGATTGAAGATGTAAAAATATATTATTTACTATTTTAATCATTATTTCAAATGTTAATACAGAAGAATAACACTTTTTTTTAATGTTCTTAATAAATTCAAGGTAGATAACTTTGAAAATTGAACAATTTTCATATTATTAAATAAAACACATTGAAATATTAAAGTATTAAAAAGAAATTCAGTAAGAAACGAAGAGCTGAAATCCTTATATTGGTTACATACATAATTATTTCATAAACCGTTTGTTAGACTTATATTAAGTGCAAATTTTGTTGAAAAATATATTTATCAAGTGTATATGTCGTTCACACAACGTACTTGTATTATACTAGGAGAAATATTATCTTTGTCATAATCTCGAAGATAATCAAGAAATTTCATATCACTCAATATTCGCTGACTTGGACCCCAGTAATCTAAAATTTTTTTACCCGTCGCTGGGTCATTGACTCGACCTGGTTGAATATTCATCATAACACAAACCGATGCCATTACAAGTTTAACACCTGCGGGTGGATTCTTCATCGATTTCACCAGAGTGATATCGGCTGGTTTAAGTGTATTTAAAGCAGCTAAAATTGTTCAAAATGAATTTCATGAGTAAATCAATTCGAATATTCCTAAAAATTATGTTCTCTTACCGACAGCTTCCTCAAGAACTGGTAAAGCCTCGGCCAAATCAGCTTCGCATTCTGCTTTTAGTGCAAGGGATACCTTAGCTTGTTCATTTGCAGCATCTTCATCTTTTTTTACTATTATTGTTGTTTTTTCAACTGAAATGTTATCATTTTCAATTTTTTTCATTGTTGCAGCTGTTAATTTAGCTGATTTTTCAAGTTCAGGTTGCAGAGAAATTAAAGTTAATTTCATCTTTTCAACTTCCTGAGCTGCAAATTCAAGCTTATCAAGTCCGCCAATGTAACGATCTCTAATAATTATTAGAAGAAATTTTATTAACAAATGATATTTAGAAAAGATAGTTTTACAAACTCCGATGTTTTCTTACTAATAATTTTTCAATATTAAATATATTAAACATCACGCAATTTTCTTATTAAAAAATTAATAAAAGTATATTGTAAAGTGTATAAAAAGGATAAAATACATAAAAATATTATTACTTACACTATGAAATTCTATTGTCTATGTTGTAATAATATATTAAATATGCGAAAATGTACGTATTATCTTGCTCTATAAAAAAAAATTACAAAAAAATGGATCTATATAATTAAATTATATACCGTATTGAGAAAATTAGCATAAAATTAACTCAGGTTTAAGAATGCCTAGAATATATTACGTATTGAAGCTGAGAACATATAGTATAGATATATTCAATATGAATTACATTTTAATTTTAATAACATTATATAAATCTCATTAATTTAATACGCTTAATTATTGGTTGTAATATCGAAACGAAATAAATTCTTTTATATTATGAAATTAAATTATTAGTTGGTTAATTAAATCATATATAAACAAACATTAATTAAATATAATGATATATTGATTTCGTTGAAATATTCGTTAAAAATGTAAAATGATTTATAAATCATTGAATAATTTTACCTAGCCAGTATTGTATCCTGTTGCTTTTCCTTTATAAGTATTCCAAAAATTTTTATTAAATCTAAAAATGCTGCCGAGGTCACATAAGTCTTCCTTCCATAATTTTTGTAGAATGTTTCACTGGCACTCTTGGCACAATTATGGAAATATTTACAAGCTTCTATTGAGTTAATCTTTATGTCTTCTGCAATATTAATGCTTGTCATACTTTGAAGAGCTACTTGCTCTAATGCATCTTCCGGCCAAACTTCGAACCAATCGATAGTACAACAATTTACTAAACTAGGATACATTCTGAGACGCGTTCTAAATGATTCTCCAATTGGACTGAAGCACAGCATCATATGTAATTTTTCTTTGCATCTATTATTAAAAAAATTTATAATACTCAATACAGAGATATCCAAATTTCGATTACCCCCTTGAGCTGCTAATCTCGCAAGTTCGATGATTTCTTGTCGCTCTTCAATATTGAAAATATTCGGAACTTCGCCTGAATTTAAAAGACAGTCTATATCGCCTAGGAAAGCTTCTTCTTTGATTTGACCCTCGGTGAATAGAAAAACAATATCTTTTCCAGTACCAGCAGTTTTCAAAACTTTTTTAATATCATCTCTCCATTCGGTTATACCATATATACTACCAATTTCAGGTTGAAATAATGCACAATTAATCATTTCAGAAGCAAGTTTTGTTAAAGATTGTCTTCCAGATCCATTGATTCCTACCATTAATAGACTTCCATAAGGGCTTGCTAAAATTCTACATATCCTTGCAAGATGCTCAAGAGCATATCTAAATAGGACTATATTAATTTTAGTTTTATGTGTACTATTATACTCTTCTAAGCACATTGACGAAATTCTGAAGTATTCTTCTATTGGAGAAATTTCTTCATATTTACGATTTTCCGGCATTGCATCTTGATCCATAAAATTGCCAAAAATTAAATGTTTTAGACTATCCTTTGTAAGATTGCCATCGTATTTCGGTAAATCTTCAAAAATTTTATCAAAAGTTTCTTTGAAAATCTTTTCAACAGCCAATTTAATTAGATCAAAAAGCAATATGGAGTCGCTTTCATCAGTCAATCGATCTCCAAAGACTCGTAAGATTTCGTGAGCCCAAAGACGATAAAATGTATCTTTATTTTGAATTGATTCTTTTTTAATCATAGCGCAGCCAGTTATAACACGTGCAAAATCACGTAGATTAAAAAGATAATGTGATTTTGTTGGAGTTGGCCGAAGTTGGGCTCTTGCTTGTTGAAAAATATTCATCGTAGCGTTCACAATATTTACTATCGTTGAGTTTACATCTGAAGCAAATCCATTTCTTTTAAAGCCAACAAGCGCAATATTGTTAAAAATACGAAAAATACTGTTATTAGAGAATTCACTGATTTCGTAAATATTAAAATGCCTTAAAAAACGAGGATAAATTTTCTGTCGACTACCACCAGGCGGTGCCATTGCACAAACAAACATCGTGTTATATATTTTAACTACACTTGGTTCATTCAAATCATACCAATAGCTATGATCGAAATATTGACGCAACAATTCAATAGCTGGCTGAGCTCCATAAATTTCCTTCGCTGGCATGTTAACATCATCAATAAAACAAATACATTGACTATTTCCCATTGGACCATAATGACCTTTTCTTTTTTTGAAGAGTTTCGATATAACGAGTTCTTGTGTTTGCGCTGCAGTAGTTCTTGCAGTAAATGTTATGAAATTAGGCAAATAATGTTCCTTATCCAATTTATTCATTATTGTATCACGAATATAAAAGCTTTTCCCAGTTCCAGTTTTACCAAAAAGAAGAAATCGTTTTTTATATTTAATGTGTAAATGAAATAGATATTGATACTTTAATGTATCCATAGTGGGTATCAACATTTCCCCTATACTCTGTGTTTCAATAATGGGTTCTAACTTAATAATATCACCAAAATATCTCCATGCTCCTTTGCCTTTAAATACGTAAACATTGTCATGTATGAGCCCTTCGCTAGGTATTGAAATAGTGTCACCTATCTCAGGTGGAACAGGATGTTCAGGATTCTCGTCTTTCCATAAAGTAATAATGAATTCATTAAATTTTACTCGAGAATCATAATCTAAGGTACCGCCGATCCCCCAAACTAGAGATACTAAAACTGCAGCCTGTAACCAAGAATCCATATGCTGATCTGCATCCTGAGGCTTATTAATTAAAATAGCATCATCTATTAAAATTTCAATTAAATTTAATGCTGACATAATTTGATTGATTTCACCAGCGTGTAAAGTTAAATTACATTGTTTTCTTGTAAATTCTAAAGAAATTTCAAAAAACCAATCAATTAATGCTGTAATAGTTAATTTATGAATTTGTCTCCAAGCTGACTGAGTATTAGTAATCCATGAATTCATAATTGGACGCCAGCCAAGAACATGGGGTTCGATATATATCATTCCACATCGTGAAACTGTAGCTGGGGATGCTTGTAAAAGATCCATAACCTCGAAGATCATTGACATAACCCCTGTCATTTGCATAACTTCTCCCGATGTAAGACATAATTTCTTATTGTCATCTAATACAGTATTTAAATTCTCAATCCAAACTGCATCTACTGGTCCATCGAAAATCAACCATTTCCTATCTGCTGATTCTTCATTGCAAAATTTACGAAAAGCTACAGCACAAACTCCATCCGTCCACTCGGATGAAATAGGATCAAACTGTCCATATAACTGGCCCATCGTTATTGATTTTGGATTGATCGTAGTAAATTTTGTTTTTGCTCCACTTTCATAATTCCACTTATGCATTAACGTTAAGGCATCCGATAGTGTACGAAGAACTGTTGTTTTACCTATAAAATTTATTATACAAATTTGAATGTGTAAAAAATGAATATATAATTAGTAAAATTTTTTCAAAAATATAATAGATTAATATGACCTGTAATTATTACATTCTATCAAGACATTTTATTCATTTCGTTGATTATACTTTAATGTATTTTGATTTATATATTTTTACCTCCACATGGATCACCCACAAGCATAAATCCATGCCGAACAATCATCATCTCAAACGTTTGAATGATCTTGAGAATAAATCCATCCGTCATTTGAAGATTTCTTGTCTTTGTCACTTGATCAATAGCTTTCATAAGAACCCCATAATCGGGCTGTGGTAAAAGGGTTCCAGGAAATAAATCTGAAATAATACCCTGAAATAGAGGAACGTCGAAGGCGAGAAATTTAGCTAAATTGACATCAATAATTGAACGTAAAAGAACTATCATCTCGTCCTCATCTGGTAAACGGAGTTTCATATTTTGAGCTGCGGTTAAAACAGTTTTAACTGCTCGCATTCCATAATCATAATGAGATTGTGTTGATAATTGTTCAGAGCAAAGCTTATAAGTTGTAACAATTTTCGTTGAAAGGACACGGGCGCTGGAAAATCCCGATGAGTAAAGAAAAATTTCTCCTATCAATGCATAATCAGGAACCATCATAGCAACTGTTCGGAATAGAACTTTAAGATTGTCAGGTAATTCGGAACGTCCAGCATATCCTGGATTCATAGTGATGCATACATAGACCGCCGGATTGAGATTGAGTTCTGTACCCTCAAAAGTAATATTATTGATATAATATTAATTTATTATTTTGATTGAATTTATTATTATGATCTAAAAGTGTTTAAGTGAAATGAAACTTGAATTGCGTATATCTATATCGAAACATATTATAAAACAGTAATTTAAATGTGGAACATTTATAAGACGATTATAAAGCTTTAAAACAATGATTTATCGTTAATGTTCAATATATATACATATATATTCCTATTTACAAAAGTGAAATAAATATTTCAATTAATATCTATTATTTTCATACGTAAAGCTTCATTTCCAATTATACTATATTGTTTGGGAGAGTATAATATAATATTAACACATTATAAACGTACAAGCTTAAAATGCATTTATTAAACAATTAAATAGAAGGCTATGAAAATTTATTCTTTAAATATTTTAAAAACAAACGATCAAAGTAAATACACTTCTTAGGTTATTAAGAGTACCTCGATTTAACCATTGAATAAGTTGAATTATAATAATCATAATTAATTCAAAGAATCGTTACTATTTAAAAAAAATTCTTTCACAAAACTTCTTACAACTGTTTCAAGATTACCTCAAACACAAATTTCTCGAGCTTCGCGCGCACGGCTTGAATGATGCAAAGTATTTGCTGAGCTACGACGGACAGCACTTCAAGCTCAATACGATTGAACTCATCGAAACAAGCCCAAGCACCGCAGGCAGCGAGTCCTTTAAAGAACTTGCTCATATTTTTATAATCCAGACCTTCGGAACAATTAAACACGACACACTGCACCGCCAAAGCGCGAGCCAAATCCTTTGTAGTCTCGGTTTTGCCGGTTCCTGCTGGTCCTTCCGGGGCACCATTCAGATGCAGTGAGTAAGCGCCGATAAGAGTCCGATAACATCTATACAACAAATTGATATAACAATAAAATTACGGAGATAAATTTGTTTTTAATATTAAAATGCGATAATAATAGTATATAATGTAATAATAAATTTAACCGACAAGAATAACAAGAAAACAAGTTTGGAAATTAAGTATCGGCAATATTTAAATTTTCATTCAATAATCAATTTCATATTTGCTAAATGTTATTAAAATAAATCAAAATAAAGTATATTGAAAAACAATTTGAAATAGCTTTATTTTTTATTATTAAATTAATACGCGTAAGCATAGGATATACAGAAAATATTTAAATAAATAATGATAAAAGAAACTAATTTTATAATTTAATACGCGTGATTACGATAAGCTATCTTTTTTACATATAAATAGTGTCAAAGTTAAATCATAAATCAAACTATATTTATATTATGACCATTTTTATACAAAATACACTAGCCTAAAAATCACGATTCTGTTTATTTTTTTTTCAAACAGTTTTCAATCGTAATGAAATAATATATCAAGAAAATAATATATAGATTCAACAAAAAGAAATTTTTTTAAGTATCAATTGTAAATTAATTATTACAATCAATACAATATCAATATTATATACTAATTTAATTACACTAATCGTAACCACTAATATAATAAGTTTATCGGTCTATTCCGTTATTATTTATAACACTAAATTATAAATACTTGGTGTTTGGATATACAAAATTACTTATAATATTATTATAAGGAAATATTTTAATGTCCGAGAAAAGTAGACTTTCATTTCAATTCTCAATTTGGGTATATTTTATTTAGAGTATTGTAATATCTAATGTAAAATATAGGACATAATTTTATCAAAATAAATGAATAAAAATATCTTCATGGAGATCTATTATTTCTTAAAAATTATAATATGATAATCCGCCAGTAAAAACCTGTCAGTTAAGGGTGTTATAACAAGTCGAGGACAATTTCCCAAGTACTCATATGCAAATGGAACACTGGCATTTATTATTCTCACGATAACGTCATTCTCCCAGTAATATCTTAATTGCGCCAGCCACTCGAAATCATTTTCATGTATAATTTTCTTGATGATGAGTGAATTAACAACGTCCTTTGCATGAACGTCTATCGTAATCAATGCATTTAAAGTGGTTCGGTTTTGTTTTGATAGTTTACCTATCAAAATAAACATAAGCATAGTATTCATAAAACAATATTTAAACTTATCGAAAACCATACCCGACAAATTATTTAATTAAAAGTATAATATAAATGAAATAATATAAAAATTATATATGATATTTAAACGATTTAGTTTAGTTTTTCCTTTTAATGAATTAACTCGATTTAGTGGAGTCCAATGCATATTTTTAAAAAATATTCATTAAAAAAAAAAAAAATATAAGAATACCTATTAATTCTTTTTTTTACATCTACACATATACGCACAAGCACGCACGCACGCACGCACGCACGCACGCACACACGCACACGCGCGCGCGCACACACACACACACACACATATAAGTATATAATAGAAGCTATTGCAATTTTTATTAATATATATTTTTATTAATATATTTATAAACAATCAATGACTGTTCAATATCGCTATTTATTAAAATATCAAATATATATTATTTAATATTATTTTTTTTTCAATTTTATTACTAAATTATAATTGCATGAAATTAACGATAATGACGTTTAACTTTTCATACCAATTCAAAATTAAATATCATATTATAGAATTTTTCAAAGTCTCCAAATTTAATTCGAAAAACTACGCACACACTTTATTAATTTGTACAAAGTTACGTAACCCATTCTATATATACTCATTTTATAAGCCATACCTTTCACAAGAGTCACCATGTCGATAATTTGCTTTGTCAACATTTGATGAAGCGTCAGCATTGTTGATTCTAAATTGGTGATCAAGGCGTTCTCAACCTGTATGCTCCAATAAATCTGTGAGACACAGAGTACAACCATACCAGGCCAAATTTTTACCCATTCGACTCGATTATTAACTTCGTAATCTCGATAGCTCATTAAAATCTCGTGCCTTATGGAGTTCACCATCTTTTCTTCGACCTACACATTCCAATTACCAAGACCAAATTAATAGATCATTGAAATTATTTATGCGCAAATTGAATTATGTAACGATACTGCCTTTTCTATTCTTTTTTTTTTTTTTTTAAGTTAAATAACATTTTACAAATTCTAAAAAAACATTAAAGTATGAAAATAAAAGCTGAATATAAAAGCTTATATAATATACTTTGTTCCATTTGATTTTGATATTATTTTATATTTCATTATTCAATAATATTCGATTAATATTACTTTACACTTATCGTAGATCTGTTCTTATAAATCAAAAAAATATTAAAAAATGTTGAATCTATAATGTTATGTCAGGCTCTGTGCAGATACGTTCAAATGTCATAATTTCGCAAAATAGATCATAAGCTATTTATATTATTTAGTTAAATTCGTTACAGCTTTAAATATTTCAAAAGAATATATTTTACTTGTACAAGCCATTTCTCTACGCAGCCGCGCGCAGCTACGGTAGATATCAGATCGATCATCATGATTTCCTCTTGATCGTCACTAATTATCGAATAAATTTCCAGCAAATTGTTAAATCTGCAATGATAATAATTTTTTAATATATTAAAGTCTGTATATATGCTTAATAAAACATCATTATTAATGTAAAGTAATAGGTAAATAATACCCAAGTTTTGAGATGCCTTCAAAGCATTTTTTTAAATGAGGCTGAACTCTAAGAGGATCCTTTGTTTCAGAAAGTATTTCGAGCATATCATCGTTACTCAAAAAGAAAAATCTCGGGAAAAACAGACGTTTCTGCTCGAGGTAATTTGCAACACCTTCTTCTATCTTCTCCATTAGCTCATTTGCACTTTTCATTGCTTCGTATAAGCCCACCTGCATAGTACAATAATAATATTAAAGCCATGAACTTATTCCACCTCATTCGGTATTTAATTAAATTCTAATATAATGTTTTATAAGAAATTAACAAATTAGAAATTTTAATGATACGTAGAGAGTTCATAAGAAATATCTATTTGAAATATCTAACATCGATACGTGCTAATATAAATTTACAAATTCTATCTTATTATTAATAGGCAATGTGTTGTTGGTTTGCTTTGGAACTTACGGTGCCTGCCATTTCTCTAACTCTTGGCTCTCTAGCGACACTATGCATTGATTTACGAAATATTCCATCAACCTCGGCAAACATAACTCCTTCCTCGGGTAGCTGTGCAACGATGTCCTTACTTGAAAATATTGGTAGAAGATAAACCCATTGTACTTGAACCTGTTATTGTGGGTAATTTTGTTCAATTTAAGTGAAATTATGTTTCTCAATAATTCAGTTTTGAGCTTTCGTTTAGAAAATCGTAATCTATTATGATATCTAATGATGATTTGAAATAACATTTATAAAAAATTTCCGACAAATGTATATATATATATATATATACCGTATAATATGTAAAACTAATTTATTTTAATTATATTTTTTAAATAAAAATAATGGAATATAACAATTAATAATTTAAATAAATATATATCTAATAAAATGATATTTATTGAAACTATAAGATTTTATTTTAATACTTTTCATAATAAAATTTAACTAAATTTTTCTTACAAATTTCTATAACAAATAAACACTAACAACATGGAATTTAATAGCCTTAGCTATATTTACTCATGGTCTTTAAATGTAAAAGATAGCACACTAAAATTCAAATAATACATAATATAAATAATATCACAATAATCATTTGAAATAGAATTTTAAAATAATTATTTTGTAGTTTATTTTTGATGAATAAACTTCAAATAGATTTGAATATTTGATTTGAATAAAATTATGAAATTTAAAAATTCTTTAACGCATATTCATATTCGTAGTAATGCATACTTCTAAATTAATAAATCTATTCATATTATTAGAAATAAATATACAAATATAATTTATTGAACAGAAATTACAGTGACATAATAACACATAAAATAAATGGAACCTTAATCCATTCTTCCAAAGTATTCTCGATTCTTATCAATAGCTCGTAAAATACTTTGACTTCTGTTGCAATAGGCTTTACAAAAGCAGATCCTCTCATCCCTTGGACTTTTACGATTTGCTCTTCAAGTAATGATTGAATATCATCTAATTGTGTTAAAATATTAACTTTACTATCCTTGAAGACCGTTGTTGTAAATACTACATCATCCCAATCGGCAATCAGTTTAGTAAGTAAATTCTGTAAACTGAGCTCTTTCGTTGCTCCTACGCTAATCTGCTCGAATCTTTAAGACATAAAATTTTATTATTTTGAGAAAAATGACTTTCAAATTTATTTATTATAATTTATAAACATTATTGATATGATTTTCATAATCGTTAAGAATTTTATAAATAAGTAATACTATTTGACAACATTAGTTTGTAAATTTTTGTCTTTTAACAAATAGCAAACATAATTAGTTTCGTAATTAAATATTCCTTAAGCTAGTAAATTAAAAAAGAATACGTACAAATTAAGATTTTCCATTACATTAAAGTTTATGATTTTCCGTAAAGTTGTTCCAGCATCCGGTGTCAAATCAAATCCAGCTATTCCGCTCATTTCATCCCAGTGTCTTTGATTTAAAGCTGTATTGCAAAAGCATAGTACTAGTGGCACATATTGCTAAAATAATAATAATATTGATAGATTTATTATTGTTTTATAGTTGACGTAATTTAAAAGAATAAGCTTTGTACTTTAAACCATTTGACGTTCTCTAACAATTGATGACATAATTTCATCGGCACTGGTTGTTGATAAGGATCTGGCTCATCCACCGAACCTTTGAAACTAAGATTAACAAGATGACAATTATAATTAAACGAGATATTGCCCGAGAAAACTTAAAATAGAAAAGTTGATTCTTTGGCTAATTAAATTGATGATAAATTTTTAAAAAGCTTTAAAACTATCATTATTCTCTAAAATATAAAAGCTTTCACTTTTATATCTCCTTGAGTACAATAGGTACCTGTAGGGATAATTCATAGCTATCTGCATCTTAATCTTCGTTTTGAAAGTCTTACTCGTTTTCGAGAAAGTTTGAAAATATTCTATCGTTTTGTTTTCCACTTCGCTTGCGTTAAGGTACTCGAAGGGTCCGTCCAACCATACATTAACATTTCTCTGCCATCGATAACCTCGAGAAATAAGATCATAAAAAGGCATCAGTATGTTATCTGTAAGCTCCGCAAGCATTGGATATGTAGTTTCGGGAAATTGAAAGAGTCGTTCTTCACTATTTATCCATTGAGCCTCAAAACTCATACGCTCTAACTCGTATGCGAACTTCCTCATATACTGAATATACTCGTGTAAACGTTGCACGTCATCCATGTCATCCATTAGAGAGAGCCTGCGTTATTATAATAGTAAAAATTCTAATATCGAAGTCGTACTTGCGTACGTCAATAATGTATTTTAATACTTAACTGAGAAATTACCTTTAGTTACATATATACTTCAACCACTTCATTCAACCACTTAATTTGTCATATATAAAGTATAATTATTATTTTTAAATAAATTAAATTATATGAATAATTGTAAGATAATTGTTGCTTTACTCGGTTGTTTTACATCAAGCACATTGTCTTATAAAAATTATTTAAAATTATTTATTAATTAGTTTTATCAATATTATTTCAATATTTAATTATCTAATAATCAATTTTTATTGTATAATTATATGCATATGGAAAAGTAATTGTACTATATTAACTATATTTTGAAAGCTTCACTATGAATGAAATTTGATTTAATAAACTTTAAATTATAATTATAACTTTATTATAGCATTATGAAGTAATTTCATTGTTTATTAAATTAAAATAAAATCGTTCTGCAGCAATAATTCGATGAAAAGCTTATTACGAAGGTTATTAAGTAATAAAATTTTAAAAATTGTAACTTAATAGTTTTTCAAAACGCGACATTAAATTATGATTCCTATAATTTCAAATTTATTAATTTAAATTAAACTAATATTAAAATATGTAATATTAAATTCTTTAAAATAATGTATATTTTGGGATCTTGTGAAATGTGAGTATACAGAATTTATTTGCACAGAGTAAGTCAAGTTAAATAACTTCTATTACGTACATAAATGATAATAATATTCATCTTGACATACTTGACATACATTCAGTTATTCTTTTTTCTTATAAAAAAAAATTCTTAGAAAGATCATAATATCATCTACGCATTTAAAATTTTAAACGAAGACTTTATTAGCACTTCTCTAAAAATCATTCTAGTGTATTAATCAATTACTATAGTCTACATTAAATGGTTTCAAAAAAGCTATATTTTCATACAAATTTTAAAAATAATTATTTTCAAATAAAAATAAACATTTTATACTTCGATAACCTCTTTCTCAGTAATATTTGTTTTCAATTTATTTTGTTTTTAATTTAAATTATACCTAAAACTTTAAAATGCTGAATTTATGTCAATTAATTAACACGATGAGCAAATTATTTTAAATAATGATTATCTCCGTTGAAAATTTTATAATTTTATATTTAAAATACGTATTTATTCACTTTCCTAAAATTCTAAACTATAACCATAACAATAATTATATACAAAGTTAAAATTAATAATTCTATATTAGGGCGACAGTAAACTCCCAAAAAACATTTATTTATATATACTCTGGGTAATATAGATCAGTTAATAAAAATAAATACGAACTCGAATGTAAAATTAATAAGTTTAGCTCGTTAAAAAAGAGTAAACGTTACTTGGGGAACATGTCGTCGATCCGTTTAATCAAATTATGAATTCTACTCTGCAACCTATCCTGCAAATCAAACTTTTTCTGCTCGTATATTATGTTATTCTTTTCCTGAACATCTTTGATGCGTTGCAACCAATTAACCATTGTATTATTAAGTTCAACGTGTTCTATATCGAGCGATGTCATCTCGAATAAGGAAGCCATCATTTTTAGTGATACTTCAATCTTGAATGTAAGTTCATCGAGTTTCACCGTTGATATATAAAGCATATATTGTCCTATCGATATAAAGTAATATTTCTATTTTCATCAACAAATATTGTATTTATTTTTTTAATTATTTTTAACTAATGTTCTTATTGTTGGCTAATAATATAATATTTAAATTAAATTATAGCAATCGTAATTAAATATTGAATATAATTAAAAATAAAAATAAAAAAATACCAAGTTCTAATAATTCTTTCGTCTCCTCTGGAATATTCAAAGCTTTCTTTTCAATAACTTCGAATTCTTTGCAGATGCTTAGATTAAAATTTTTATGTCTTAAGATAAGTTCACTTATTATAAGTTCCCTAACTGTATTAGCATATTGTTTTAATCCTTCTTTAGCATCTTCTTGAAATAACTTACAATTTAATAAATATTCATTTGATACCTGAAAATCGAACATATAAAATATTTTAAAGAATAAAGTATTTTACGAACTTTTTCACTTATAATATCATAATTTGTTAACCAAGCCATAAGCAGTTCCTATCGAGCTATTGAATTCATCAAATTTCACCAAACACGTATTAAAATCATGATTCTCGACAATCCCTGTTACTTCGGTTTTCTGCGTTTCTGGATCAAAAATCACTTTGTATTTCATATAAATTCTTTGAACGTAATCGATAAGCGAAGTAAAGACAATATTCAAAATTTTAGTGAATCGTTCGTGACACTGAGTGATGTACCAGTTTGGTGGTTCGACATTACAGAAGTCTTTAGCATTAGGAAGCTTAACAATAAATTCGATCGAGGGTAACTGTTTTGCACATTTGGAGATCTTGTCCAGAAATGAGTGAAAGATAAGGTAGATATCTTGCATATTGGGTGAAAGAAACAAATCATTGTTCTCGCATTTTAAGCTTAGCTAAAAGGACAAACATTCAAAAAATGTAAAATAGAAACTTCAATGTCAAGATTTTATTCGATGAATATTTAAAAAACCACGAGTAAATTATATATTTATAAGTTACTTCATAATTGACAATTACATTTAATCAATGTTCTTAATCGTTTATTGCGCTTATCAATAATATTGAGTTTGAAATTGTATAATTTCTATAGTATCTATGTATACAATTCAGCAGAATTGATTAAAAATTATAAGTGTGAAATTGTTTAAATTAAATTTTTATTTTTCAAAATAATGATATAATTACATAGTAATACTAACTAAAATAAATAAAAATAAAAAGGAAAGCAAAATTTTCTTTTAATATGAATGAATTTTAATTTCACATTAATCAGTTAATAATTAATGCATTATGTGAAATGATATTCAATTTATGAATACATTTGCACTTAATTCATCTCACCTTAATAAGAGGAGTGATCAATGGGTCGCTCATTACCAATATTAAATGTTCCATCGTGTTCATTATTCGATTCATAATCTGTAATTCTAGAAGCTTACTGGCACAATTTAAAAAAGGCACTGCTCTGGATACGGGCACATCTCGATAAGTTCGAAATAACCGTAGGACCAACTTATTAATATTGGCATGATATGAATTGGCGATTTTTAATTCGCCTTTACTCAAATCTTCTTCTACAATATCTACGAACCTAAAGACTCCAAATAATAATTATTTAAGAACTAAGGTTTCCGTATTTGTTAATTTTAAACTACAATACAGTAACTTTACACTTAGCAGTTCAGATTATTACAAATTCAGTTAAGGTAAATGTTTTAGATGATTGTTAAATAAAAATTATTATAAAAATTCTTCTGTAGTGGCATTGTGATTACATATTTTCTTTAAACATAGAAGTAATTTCATTTCTAATATCATTATGATAATTAAGGAAACCATGAATTATAACTATGATTTGTTAACTATGTTATCATTTTTAATTGATATTAACTTTTAGTAATTGTTTAAGAAAGACCATTTAATCATAAAATTTTCCTCTCACTAATCTATTATAAATGATTAAATGAACAAAATATTTATTTGTAAATAGTTTTAAAATACTTCTATAAATTTTATTTATTAAATTTCTTTTTTTGCCGTCTTAATTATTTTATTCTTATTTCAGAAACCCTTCTATTTATATTTATATAATTATTGATGAAAATTGCTCAAATTTATCGGCAATTAGGTTTTCAAACAAAAATCCAAATAAAGTTATTACAAAAAATTCATATTTCAAATACTTTTATCAAATATATCTCACTCCATAAAATCCAAATATCCTTTTTCCCTGTATTTTTTAAAATCACAAACAAGTGGTGGTAAATGGGTTGTAGCTCTGGATATTATTGTTCTCATGAGCTTATGCGATAGGAAATATTTCTTTGAAATCGCACAACGATTCCACAGAAATTTCTCATAATTTTCCGTTCTCCCGGGTAGCTTATATGGAGAGTCTTGCACACCTATCCAATCATCCCCACCATCCACTTCATATCTCAATACGCATTTCAAACTTGTCTTATACATCTCGTTGAGATAACGTTCTTTAATCTCTTTCATTTGGGCTTTGAAGTTATCCGAAAATTTCTCGCGCATCGCAAGCGGCACCGACTCTCTTATCGCTTGTTCCCAGTCCTACGGATTTTAAAATTAAATAAAAGACCTCTAACCTTTTTTCATCCAGATATAACATTTACATTATTATAATTAATAATAAATAATAAATTTCTTATATTTTCTTAACAACTTTAAGGATATAAATAGTTTAATACCATTCATTATACACTAGTATTAAATTGTAATAAATAACTGGAAATATATCTAGTGAACGTTATGGATTTATATGATAAAAGTTAAACGATTCTTAATCGCATTTTTATCTTAATATAAACGATTATTTTATACATTGTGAAAGATCGATAGATTGAATCATTGTTACAATGAGTTTTAAGATTGTATGGGAAAATAAGCATACTAAATTGAGAAATAGAAAATAAACTTTTCTTCTTTATTTTCAATAAAATAAATTTTTTAACGAACAGTTTTTAAATTAAAAGATTTTAATTCAAAAGTGTCTATATCTTACATATTATCATTACAAAAACTAAGAAAGATCAAGAAAATGGTTTTAAAAAGTAAAACTGATAAAAGTTTAAATAAGTTAAAATTTAAGGTCAATGTAAATTGTTAAGTGTTCAGGATTAAAATTGAGTGCAGTACAAATTTAAATAGTATGCTGCAATCTAGATGAGCTTTAATCACTTATATATATATATATATATATCACTGTTTAATTATAGAACGATTAACTGTCTTGTGTAATGCAATTTTTTCAAAATTACTTTTCAAAACTCTTTATACATAAATTATCTCTAATATAAATACATTAAAGGAATAAATTTAAAAATAAATTGATAAATAAAAAAATACCATGGAAATTATTATCATTCTATTATTATACCGTTGAGTTTATAGATTTGTAATAAAAAATAAATAAGAATATACTTCAACCTTCTTATAAGTAATTAAAATTTTTAAACGTCGTTCTAAAATTGCTCGCTTTATCACTTCTTATTGCCCATAGTATAACATATTTGAACATAAGTAATAAAAAATCATACGAATATTTTTTGTTTACAAAAGCTAACAATATTATTTCGACTTCAACTTGTATTACCTTAACAGATTTGTAAAATATTATACACAATTTTCATTTTAGCTCATCGTAAATAATATTTGTAATCCTAAATACAAATTGCGGAATATCAAACGTAAAAATAACTATAATCTGTTGAAATATACGTCGTGCTTACTGGAAGAAGTCCAATAATAGGCAAACGTTCCACAAACTCCTTCATTTTATCAGAGCAAATTTTCTCAATCGGCGGTATAGCACATTCAGACTTCTGCCTTTGAGGAAATTGATTGCGCTGTATTTGTTTCTGCGCCGCCATTCGCTCCAATATCTCTGTAGCTTCATTTTCCCGAATCTTTCAAACATAAAATGAATGGACGGATTATAAAAAATACATATTATTTAAAATGGTGTGCATAAGAATTTTATACCTTATTAATCCATATTATTTGTATATAAAAATTAATTTTAAGCAAAATTTGCTTGTGTTGCATTATGATACATAATAATTTCAAATAAATTAAGTATATTAAAATTATAATTATCTAAACTGAATTAAACTCATTTTATTTTTAATTTAATTTAAAATCTACTTAAATTAATGATTTTTATATCTATTTAAAATTAATTTATATTATATATACTAATAATGACTTTAATACTAATATTTATTATTCGTGATTATACATTAGCTTTAATAGTGATTTTATATAAAATTCCTTTTCATATACGAAAGATTAAAATAATTAACAAGAATATACTCTATTTATTGTTACTTGCTTAATCAATCTTTTTAATTTAATTTAATTTAATACATATTATATGCATATACATATTTATTGATGAAACTTGATAATAAATATATGAATGTAGTATTTTATTAAATAATCGTCTAATTTTATACGCAATGGCTATTATATATTATATTACAGTTTTGTATATGTGTAAAATTTAATAAGAAATAATTTAAAATATTATGTATATTATATCACATCATATATATTATTATACCGTATATGTAATGTTTTAAATAAACATGTTAAATAAATAATTTAAAACATATATATATATATATATATATATATATATATATATCCAGCTATAAAATATTATTATATATTTATTTTAATGTTATTATAACAAATAATTCAGTTTTAACCTTTCTAATTCGATAGTTATCCAAAGGATTTTCTATTTTTTTGTGAATAATCTGTTCGACATTTGGAATCGATGTTAATTTTCTAATATGTATGGGACTCGGTAAATCGGAAACTTCTTGTAGTTTTGACATCATTCGTGATTATAATTAGATATTATTTTTTAAAATTACTCATTACAACAAATTATAAATTGCGCTAATGAAAAATTGATTTTCTACATTCAATTGTTGTTCCTTAAGTATGTCAAGTTATACATTTCATTTTCTATTTGAAACGATTGTTTCATATTTGTTTGTTTAACAGAACTACTCATAACATTATATTATCATAATTTGGCTAAAACTTTTTCTATGCATACACGATTTAAAGTGTATTATAGATTTTCTAAAAACTCAATATTTTATTTCTATTATATTTGACTGTCCCGATATGATATTACTTTCATCCCAATATGTGCCGCCATCTATAAATAAATATCTTTGAATAGTTAAAAAATAATCGATTACATTTTTTTATGATAAAAATTTTAACATTAATAATATTAATTATCAAGTTTGATACAAATTTTAATTAAAAATCATTTAACAATAATACTTGATAAACTACAATTCTTTTGAGTATAAAAATAGCCAAGAAGTTTAAAGAAAATTATTATAAAGTAAAACTAATTTATATATTTTTAAATTTATATGATAATTTTTTAAAACTAAAATTATTATTAACGCATTAAATTATTACGATATTATAAGTTTATAACTTATCTCAAAATGTTCAATGATTACATAATAATATATAAAATTATATGAAAATGATATCGTTCTTTCATTATTTATATTAATAAAATTATTGTTGCTTTACTTTTATAATAACTTTACTTTCAATGCTCAATTACTTCCTTTATTAAAAGAACACTTTTAGTTAATTAAATGAATGTAATAAGTTTTATCAAATTTTTAGAAAATATTGTTTTATAACAAATGTGATGTTCTGCATTGAATATCATCTAAGTCAACTTTTACTTTAAGCAAGGTTACTTTAATAATATTTTTATTTTATGACTTTTATTACATATTATTTTAACTTTTTTACTTACTTTGTATTTGAGAAACATTATACTAATTTTAATTTGTTTTAATTTACATTATTGTGTATAAATTACTATAAAGAATTATTATATTTAATAATTGTAATGAACGTATTGTTTACAGTTATGTTATTATTAATATTTGTATTAATTTTAAAATAATTTGTGGATCAATATTTTTATCCTTACATCTTTTTGTACTTTAACTTATAAATAAAACTTACTAAGATAGCGCAAATATTAGCATTAATAAAATTCTTTAATCTCTTCAATTCTTAATAGTTAACAGCAAAGCATTATGTGAGTTTATTAAAAATAAATATTTCCAGTAAAATTGTTAAGTAAAATATTTATGAATTTCAGATAAAATCCCTTTAATTCACTGAATTTAAGTGCTTTTTCAATTAAAATTAAAATATCAAGAAAAGAAATTAATATTTCATTTCCGTTATTTATAATGCATGTTCGATATGAAACGTAGTTTACTCTTGTTTATTATATATAAAAAATGAGTAATATTGCGTTCAATAAAATATTCATTTTATTTAAATAATTATTTGACTTTCTCTTTGAT